GGTGCTGAAGAAATCATTGCGTCTGTAACAAGCGATGTTCCATATATCGACACCAATGATGATGCTCTTGAATGCTCTTTTCGAGCTCTTGAATTTAAATGCAACCTTTATTGCAGAAGGAAGCAAATTCCATATCCCAAATTGTCTGATTGCACCAAGATGACGTTACAACAACTTTAGGCATCGGAGCTAAAGCTGGGAGAGGTCTAGGAAAGAATCTTCAAGGGATTTCAGTTCCTATCAGTATAAAGATGAAAAAAGACCGTTTTGGGCTAGGGTTTAAGCCCAATCTTCAGTAAAAGAACAAAGAGATGAAAAGAATGTGAAGACAGAAAGGCAAAATTGAAAGGAGGAGAAATCCTTTGGAAACACATGTCTTTCCCACAGTTGAAGACCACATTCAGATCAGGGGGAATAATTAATGTAGAACAGCAGCTTGTTGAAGCCTTTAAAGAAGAAAAGTTGACGAAAGATCAAGACATAGTTGAAGAAACTATGAATGGATTATTTATCAACATGATCATGAATGACAACAAAACTGGCAAATACTTGGATAGGATTCGCCCATGTCTTCCTGGAGAAACCCTCACCAATTGGACCACTGAAGATTTTCCTATAGTTTTTAATATTATGCAGAGTATATTCAGAACTAATCTTTATGTTTAGCTCAAAAATATGAAAACTTTTGTTATCTTGTAAAAGAAATTATGTTATGGTCCGTTTAATACATTTTACATTTCATAGTGTTAATAGCATGTGTTATAAATTCCTAAATTTAATCCAGTGATAAATTTAGAGCATCCTATATGTCTGGAAGAAATCAATGGGTGTGAGGATGAAATGGAATGTGATGTTCCTACTGAACTATTAAGATTAGTAGAAAAAGAAGACAAACAAATTCTACCCCACAAAGAAGAGATTGAGATTGTGAATTTGGGAACAGATGAAGAAATGAAAGAGGTGAAAATTGGTACTACTCTGACCATCCAGATAAAACAAGAATTGCTAAATCTCCTTCAAGAATTCAAAGATATATTCGCATGGTCTTATCAAGATATGCCTGGTTTGAGCACAGATATAGTGATACACAAGCTTCCAATCAATCCAGAATATAAACCGGTCCAACAAAAGCTTAGACGAATGAGGCCAGAAATGTTGTTGCAGATCAAAGAAGAAGTGATGAAACAGATCAATGCAGGTTTCCTCCAGGCAGCTAAATACCCAGAATGGGTAGCCAACATTGTTCCCGTACCAAAGAAAAATGGGAAAGTTCGAATGTGTGTGGATTACAGAGATCTCAACAAAGCTAGTCCAAAAGATAGTTTTCCATTACCCCACATAGACACATTGGTGGACAATACTGCAGGGCACACATGGTTTTCATTTATGGATGGCTTTTCAGGATATAATCAGATAAAAATGAATCCTGAAGACATGGAAAAAACAACATTTATAACCATGTGGGGCACATTCTGTTATAAAGTGATGCCATTTGGATTGAAAAATGCAGGGGCAACATATCAAAGAGCCATGGTAACTTTGTTTCATGACATGATGCACAAAGAGATTGAAGTATATGTAGATGACATGATTGCCAAATCCAGAACTGAAGAAGAACATATTCAAAATTTGAGGAAACTTTTCCAGAGATTGAGGAAGTACCAATTAAAGCTCAACCCCGCTAAATGCACTTTTGGAGTAACTTCTGGGAAACTTTTGGGATTTGTGGTCAGCAAAAAAGGAATTGAGATTGATCCAGATAAAGTCAAAGCAATTCAAGATCTTCCACCACCCAATACAAAAAAAGAAGTTCGAGGCTTTTTGGGAAGATTAAATTATATATCTCGGTTCATTTCTCAATTAACTGACAAATGTGATCCAGTGTTCAAATTACTTCGAAAGAATAATCCTGAAGTCTGGAATGAAGAATGTCAAGAAACTTTGGATATTATTAAGAAATATTTATCCAATGCCCCCATTTTAGTATCACCAATACCTGATAGACCATTAATTCTCTACTTGACGGTCTTCGAAAATTCGATGGGATGTGTACTAGGACAGCATGATGAATCTGGAAGAAAAGAACAAGCTATCTATTATCTGAGCAAGAAATTTACCGATTGTGAAGTTCGATATCCACCAATACAAAAATTATGTTGTGCTTTGGTGTGGACTACTCGAAGACTCAGATAATATATGCTATACCATACTACTTGGTTGATATCAAAACTTGATCCTTTGAAATTCTTAATGGAATCACCAGCTTTGACAGGCAGAATGGCTAGATGGCAGATGTTATTATCTGAGTTTGATATTGTATATGTCAACCAAAAAGCGATAAAGGAAGTGTCATAGCTGATTTTCTGGCCAGTCGTGTATCAAATGATTATCAGCCTTTGAACTTCAATTTTCCCGATGAAGATCTGTTGTGCATATCCATGAATGAAGAAGTCAGAACAAATGATGAATTTGCAACTTGGAAGCTTTACTTTGACGGAGCATCTAATGCTTTGGGACGAGGAATTGGAGCAGTGTTAATTTCTCCAGAAAATGTTTATTATCCCTTTACAAGTAGACTGGAGTTCTTTTGCACCAATAACATGGCAGAATATGAAGCTTGTGTCATGGGATTGAAAGCAGCTATAGAAAGAAAAATCAAATGTCTCAAGATATATGGAGATTCATCTTTGGTGGTGTATCAATTGCGAGGAGAATGGGAAACAAAAGATCCCAAATTGTTGGAATATCGAAATTTTACCCTCGAATTAGTGAAAGAATTTGAGAGAGTTACCTTCAATTATCTCCCTCGAGAAGAAAATCAAATGGCAGATGCTTTGGCTACATTAGCTGCTATGTTTCAGGCAACTAAGAAAGTTGATATGATGCCAATCAAAATGCAAGTATATGAAATTCCTGCACATTGTTATAGTGTGGAAGAAGAGGTAGATGGTAAACCATGGTATCATGATATCTGCAATATATCAAAAATCAAAGTTATCCACCAAATGCATCGGAAATTGATAAAAGAACTTTGCGAAGAATGGTTGCTGGATATTTTCTTGATGGAGAGATTATGTATAGAAGAAGCAATGATCAAATGCTATTGAGATGTTTAAATACCAGCGAAGCTTGAAATGTCATTGAAGAATTACACAGTGGAATATGTGGAACACATGCAAATGGTCTTTCCATGGCCAGAAAGATAATGAGATATGGATACTATTGGGCTACTATGTACACATATTGCATTGATTATGCAAGGAAATGTCATAAATGCCAGATATATGCAGACAAAATTCATGTACCCCCATCTCCTTTACATGTAATGACAGCACCCTGGCCATTTTCTATGTGGGGAATAGATGTCATTGGAGCAATTACACCAAAAGCATCGAATGGACATTGTTTCATCCTTGTGGCAATTGATTATTTTACCAAATGGGTTGAAGCTGCTTCATATACCAATATTAAGAGGTTCACAATCTGCAAATTCATAAAGAAAGAGATAGTTTGCCGGTATGGCCTACCAGAAAGGATCATTACAGATAATGCTCTGAACCTGAATAACAAAATGATGACCGAACTTTGTGCACAGTTTAAGATCAAACATGCAAACTCAGTGGCATATCGTCCAAAGATGAATGGGGCAGTTGAAGCAGCAAATAAGAACATCAAGAGAATCATTACAAAGACTACTGAAACTTACAAAGATTGGCACGAGAAGTTACCTTTTGCTCTATACGCATACCGAACTACTGTTCGAACATCTACTGGGGCAACGCCTTTTTCTTTAGTCTATGGGATGGAAGCAGTCTTACCAATTGAAGTTGAGATTCCATCGCTTCGAATATTGAGAGAAATAAAATTGGATGAATCCGAATGGATCCAAGCTAGATTTGATCAATTGAACCTTATTGAGGAGAAAAGATTGAAAGCTATTTGCCATGGACAGATGTATCAAAAACGGATGATGAAGTCTCATGACAAAAAAGTACATCCAAGAGAATTCCAAGAAGGTGATCTAGTACTAAAAAAGATTTTGCCTATACATAAAGATTTCCGTGGTAAATGGATGCCTAATTGGGAAGGGCCATACGTTGTGAAAAAGGCCTTTTCCGGAGGAGCGTTGATCTTGGCAGAAATGGATGGAAAAATTCTGAGAAATCCAATAAACTCGGATTCTGTCAAGAAATATTATGCTTGAAGAAAAAAAATGAAGAAAAAAAAAGAAGTAAAAAAAAAGGAAAAGAAAGAAAAAAAAAAGAAAAAAAGAAAAAGGGGGGTCAAGGTGAAAACCCGAAAAGGGCATCTTGTAACCTAAGGAAGGATTTGAGTTGAAAACCTGAAAAGGCGGCTCAAATGAAGTTTGCTATTAGGCATCCGGCAATTGAACTCTCTTAAGATTTTGACAGTTTGGGAGAAACTTCACATCTACAAGCATTTTGACAACGTTTGAGATCTTCCAGACAAAAGCTTACATCATTTCTCTAAGTTGTGTCAACTTGATTAATTTAGAAATACTTATGCTTATAATTTGTTGAGACATTTGAATTTTTATTATTCTTATGCTTGCCATAACTTTGAATACAATTATATCTATTTCAAGTTCAATTTATTTGAGATTCAATTTATTTTTGAAAATTCAATTTATTCTTTTATTGAATTAACATAATTTTGAAATAATTTAAAGATTTCTGAATATCACTTTATGTTAATATTTTTAAATACATGGAATACAAAGTAAGCAAATCATCACCATCTTGAACAATAAGGTTGTTATGCTAGATATAACCGACAACAAGGTCGAATCCGCCAAATCTACTCATCAATTGCTCCAACCGATCACCATTCAGTTCTTGCACACCTGTTTTCAAAGATATACTAAGGCAATAGAAGGCAACCTTTGTAGCATTGATTCCGGCAAAAAGAAACAAGACATTGATATCACTGGGAAACATGTCTCTATACAGATCCTTGTGTATGGTTTTTAAGGAAACCTAGAAGCATTTCCACCTCATTAGGTTCAAGTGGAGCAACTTTATTCCTTCCAACCCATACTAGATTCCATTTTCAGCACTCATCAAGAACATACTTCTGGACACTTGAAGGTGGCTCATTGTCATAAGCTTCAAGAGCATTACATATCCTTTCTGTCAATTTGGCACTTCCTGTACATGTTTATAAACAGTTCAACTTTATTCTTGGATCCCATGAAAGCCATCATTTCTTTGTCAATGGAAAAGCATCAGCACATGGAGGAAGCAGAATAAGAGAAAATATGTTCTTAATTGGCAGAATTAAGAATATAGCCCTTTTTAGTGTAGCAACATGGAAATGCTTCGAATCTACAAATTCTGGCTTTACATCGAATAAGTACTGTGATATCCCAGTCCAAACATTAAATAGAACAAATGAATTTGCCAATAGCATCTTCTGGAAGTGTTCTTTGAGTTATCTGATCTGGTTGGACAGAACAATCATTGAATTTAGAAGATGAATTTGCCAATAGCATCTTCTGGAAGTGTTCTTTGAGTTATCTGGTTTGGTATGAACCCAAAAAACCAATCATTGAATTTGGAAGATGAATTTGCTCATAGTAAAAATAAGGATACTCAATAGCATCTTCTGGAAGTGTTCTTTGAGTTATTTGATCTGGTAAGAACTATAGAACCAATCATTGGAATTAAAAGATGAACTGTATGATTATCTTCATTAAGAAGCTTCTTTTCAAGCTTCCTCTGCTTCTTCCTTTTCAAAAATCATAGCCCAAGTTTCGCCTTTGCTTGTAATTGGGATCATTGCATAATGACTTCCTATTTTTTACCAGAAGAAGTGCATCAGCAGCCTTAGTCATTTGAGCAGCACATATAAAATTTGCCAATTCTGCAATTGATGAATCTGGACCACATTTCTCCAGGGCTATTGAAGTTTCAGCCCATGAGAATCCCATTTTTGTCAAGTATAACAGTTTATTCTCCTCATCAGAATCAGAATTCAAGATTTCTCGGTATTAGAAGAACTATCGATATCTGTGAAATCATCTTGAAAGGTCACTTCATAATCAGATGAATTGTTATCAGAATCAACATGTTGCCTGAATGCAAGCTTTTCAAGAGCCTATACTATTGAGTTTTATTCTCAAGAGGTTTTGTGACATTATATCTACATCTACATTTGTCAAAGATGATATATTCTTTGATTTGAAAAAGAAAGATCTATTGGGTTTTTACAATTGAAGAAATATTCAATTCACCAATCTGAAATCAAATAACTTAACATTCATGCATCATATTTTAGGTGTTTACAAAAATAGGTGCATTTCATTCATTTTTATTCTTGTTGAATTTTTAACAGGAATTTCAAAGATTTTAGCAAAGATTCAAATCTATCATTTGAAGATTAGCTTTTCCAGAGAAAGTTCATAATGAGAAGAACTCATGAAGAAGGAAGAAGAAGTTCATAATGAGAAGAATTTGTTCAACCTTTTACCTGAATCCATCATTTGATGGATCAGCTTTTCCAGAGAAAGTTCATAATGAGAAGAACTCATCTGAAGAAGGAAGAAGAAGTTCATAATGAGAAGAATTTGTTCAACCTTTTACCTGAATCCATCATTTGAGGGATCAGCTTTTCCAGAGAAAGTTCATAATGAGAAGAACTCATCTGAAGAAGGAAGAAGAAGTTCATAATGAGAAGAATTTGTTCAACCTTTTACCTGAATCCATCATTTGAGGGATCATCTTTTCCAGAGAAAGTTCATAATGAGAAGAACTCATCTGAAGAAGGAAGAAGAAGTTCATAATTAGAAGAATTTGTTCAACCTTTTACCTGAATTCATCAATTGATGGATTATCTTTTCCAGAGAAGTTCATAATGAGAAGAACTCATCTGAAGAAGAAAGAAGAAGTTCATAATAAGAAGAACTTGTTCAACTTTTTGCATAATTCTATCGCAGAAGGAGATAGATTAGCATCAGCCTTTCTAGAGAAAGTTCATAATGAGAAGAACTCATCAAGAGATTATTCAACCTTTTGAATGACTCTATCACAGAAAGAAAGAGGTCAGTATCATCCCCAGCAGAAAGTTCATAATGAGAAGAACTCATCTGAAGAAAGAGAAGAATTTATTCAATATCTCCATTATGATCAAGTGAAGCCAAATGGATAAAAAATTTTATTATCTTTTCATCTTTGCCCTATTCTTGTTAACACAAGAATGAGCAAAGAGGGGCAGCTGAAGATACTAATTTTTTACCCATATCATTATCATTATTATTATTATTATTATTATTATTATCATTATTATTATTATTATTATTATTATTATCATCATTATTATTATTATTATTATTATCATTATTATTATTATTATTAAATATATTAAATACATATATAAATAATAATTGCAGACCAATTACAACTGGACCGGCCCAGTTACAAACAAACCAGAACCGGTCCAGATCAAACCAGAAACCCTAAACATTTGGGGGTTTCAGTTAGGGTTTCTTAACCCTAATCTAACCAGCCGCCTCAGCTTGCTGCCGTTGGATCTGGCAAGATCCAACGGTCCAGATGGCTCCAGATGGAAACCCTAGGGTCTGATACCCTAGGGCCACGCGGCTGCCGACACTCTTCGCCGCCTCCGCCGCTGCCACGTCCCAACCGAAGACTCCAGAAGCTAGAACACCAGCCGTCCACGCCATAGCTACGGGGTGAGTCACCACTGGCAGTCCGGTGACTCACCGAGACCCCCTCTTCGGACCGGTCCGATGGCCACACCGGTGGTGGCTATAAAAGCCACCACCCGAACCTGAAAAAAAAAACAGAGACTACACAGGAAACCGAGAGAGATACAAAGAAACTAGATACTAAAAACTACCAACGATCTCAACAATCAGTAGCAAAGAAACAGAAAAGAAAGAAAAAGGAAGAGAAAGACTTACCGAGGAAGCCAACGCCGGATCTCATCAAACCTTCGAAAAACCGAAGGTATTCTTTTAGATTTGCTCCGATTGGGAGCCGTTTAACGGAAAAGAGCATCGGAACCGTCATTAGGACGGTCCGATCTATGTTTAGATGTAAAAAAAAAATTTCCGGCCACCGAAGACGGTGGCCGGCGGCGGTGGTTGACGGCGGACGAACGCCGACTGACGGCTGCCGGCCGACTGGCTTCTCTCTGTTCTAGAGAGAAGCGAGAGAAAATTTTTTTTCTCTCAAAGAAGAGAGAGAGAGGAGAAGTAGAAATGAAGACTGGCCCTTCGGGCCAGCCGGTTTGGACCTTTTATAGTCCTTCCCGAACGACGTCATTTCGGGAAGGACTATGCGCATAATTAGACAATAGTTAAACCCCGTCCGCCGTCCTCCTAATTTGTAAACATTACATTTTAGTCACTAAATCGATTTTATAATATTTTAATTCAGTCTTCGAATTTCAATTTTATTCATTTTAGTCCTTTTATTAAAATAATATATTAGGATAAATAACAGAATTAATCCCTTAATTTTAATAAATAATATTTTAATCCCTAGTTTATATTTTTAATTTATTTTATTATAATATCCGAATTTTAGATGATTTTATTTTAGTCATTAAATTATTAAATAAGAAAATAACATATTTAATCCCTATAATTTTGATTAATTATGAATTAGATTTTAATTTTATTTTTACTGTAATTTAGTCAGTTATTTTATGTGTTTTCATTTATTTTATTGTTTTTAAATATATTGTTTTAGTAGTATTTTATTTTTATTTTATTATATGAATAAATATTTTTATATTTCATAAATAAATATATATAAATAGTAATTTTTAAATATTTATTTAATATCGAAGAAAAGGACAGTCTTAATAAAACTGGATGTCCTATTCTGATATTTTAAAATTAAAAAGTAAACAATATTATTTAAATTAATATTTATCAATATCAAAGAAAAGAGCTGTCTTAAGGCACCTAGAAGTTCTTTTCTGATATTTTTAAATAAATAAATATTTTTTTATATAATTTTGAAATAATAGAATTATAAATTAAATATATTTTTGAATTTTTAAAATTTTAATAATAGAGACAATTTATAATTAAAAAGTACCAATTTTGGGCGTTGTAGGGGTGCTAATCCTTCCCTAAACGTAACCGACCACAAATCCCTTTTTATTATTAAAAAGAACGAATTTTTGGTTAAAACGCAGATCAGTTTATCTTTTAATTGATGTTTTCTTAAAAACTCTTTTAAAAGATATTTTTTAGGTATTCGACCTACCTGACCCAAAAGGCCGATGGCGACTCCCAAATTATTTTCAAAACCATTTATTCACATCAATTTCCCCGCCAAAATAAATATTTCGTGCCCGGACGAAAACCGGTTATGACAAATACATACTCTGAAAATATAACTGTCTGAATCTAAATCTTCTAAGAAGAATAACAATTCTTTTAACCATCTAAACCACTTAATAAATCCTACTTACGTTAACGTTAGTTCATTTGTTTACCGATAAACATTAAAAAAGTATACGCAAAGGTGTTACACACGATGCCTGTTTTCACCGCGAGTCCAAGAACAATCATAATGCAGGACAAATAGCTTGTAATTCAGCTTCATCCGACTCAGTGATCCCAAAGGTCCTGAAAATAGAGCCAATATATTACTTAAGACACTGAACTTGACCACATGCTCCTGCGGTGAAATCCATCTCACACCAATGCAAGTTGTATGCCTAGACAATGGTTGACATATCCACGGGCACTCCCGCCATTGTGATTCAGAGATCATCCACGTCTCTTCCAAAACTTTCGCCCTTTAAAGTGATCTCAATTTAGTCAAGAAAAATACCTCTTGCATAGTCAATCACTTATTGAAAATTGTTGATAGGAATAAGGTGGTTATGCCGGTCATTGACGATTCATCTCTTTTAAATTAGACGTAGAGTTATTTATGGTTGAGCGGTGATTAATTGATGTTTAGATCCATTGTCTTCCTGAGGTAGAGTAAAGAGTGGATGAAATGATTCCAGATCTTTCTCTTAGTCTTAACCGAGAAATTTTACAATAACCTTTAGTGTTAGTGTCACATATCATGATGATTACTCGAGGTTAGCAGACCTAAATGATGTAGTTAGATGCCAATTAATTTAACTCTAACATGTCATTTTTTTTAAACTAGACCCTAACAGATAAAGGTCACGCCAAAAAATTGTTTATTACCCAAAGATGTGGTAGTCTGGAGCTCTTAATGCTTGATAGGTAGAGGAGAGACATTGGGGGTGATACCTCCGAAGGAGACCTAGAGAAGGTATAATAATTGTCCCCCAGTCTAGAGAATATTATAAAATAACTTAACTCGGAACATGTAAAAGAAGACATTTACTGTATTAAAAGAGTCACTACTTGAGAGTTTGTGCGATGACTTATTTCAAGTGATTGGACGCTTATACGTTTTCATATAAAGTGGCAAACTAATACGGAAGTATCTTTAGGTTTGGAATATTGCGGGAGATCTCAACATTGTTGAAGAGGTAATGGAGAAAAATCAACGTCTCACTTCATGGTATGGATAAATTCTTAATACATCAACAAAGGTTTCTCGACTCTTTTTGACTGGTTATCGAAGAGATAACAAGAAAGTATCACACGGATTAAACTAGATCTAGATCAGATTTTACATAGACCTATTATAAAGGTAATTTTTTCAATCCAGTTTATTCTATTTGTAACCGTCAGGATTTAATAATTAACTAAATATGAAAATGCCATATCATCAATAAATATAGATTATTAGTCAATAATGTTTTCTATTCGAAATGGATCATTTTGACAAATAAAAAAATAAAATATGAAAAGTAAAATACATAAAAAATATAAACTAAAATAACTATTCAAATAAAGAAGGATAAATCTTAACATTAAACTTTAAAATTTGATTATTATTTTACGATGAGATAAACAATGATGTAATCCATATGATATGAAATTTAAAAATTATCATTTAATATTTCGCATTTAGACTATTCAAATTAATACTATATTTTAATTTTTCTTATAATTAATATTGTATCTTATAAACTTGTATGTATTGTTGCTTGTACTCAAAATTTCAAGTATCTCTGTTAATACGTCATTGAGAATAATCGAATATATTTTAATTGAATATAAACATATTATTCTTTATATAATAAATTAAAGTTAAATAATTAAATTAAAAAAATTATAATTATTAGTTGAAAAGAAGAAACCATCAATTAACCAACAACTAATTTGACTAGTGTGATGAGTCAGTAAATTCTTTAAACAAAGTCAAGGAGGGTCGCCATTCAAAATGTATCTCATTTCTCTTTTTGATGCGTTTATGGTAGATGTTTTATTATGTTTGGTTGAAGGAATTGTTTCAGACATTTGGTTGCTCTTACTTGTCCGAAATCTTGTTGGAAATGACACTATCAGAGAAAGAAAGAAAGAAAAAGATAATGTTTTGATGAAGAAATCAATAAGCCTTCCAGATTGTTTCCTTTTTCTTTGTTATCCGTATTCACTGATGTGTTCTGTATATTTATGAACCACATCCCCACCGAGCAAATGTACTTCTGTTTACATCTGCTGAACTTGTTTCGAATTTCTGCAGATCATTTCGAGATAGATGGAAAGAATTTGGATACTTCCATGTTATTCTTGTGGACAGTTTACTTGATTCGTCTCTCGTCTGTCTGCGAGCAGCATTTAGCAGATTACAACCATAAAGACAATGCCGGATTCTGATCGAGTGGAGTTTTCATTTTAGTTCGGAACAATCCCACCATGCTCGAATCCTTCGATTGCTCCAACCCTCACATGGGAACTGAAACTGTTTAAGTAAACTGTCCACCCATGCCAGGATCCCAGCAACACAGAAACTCAGTCATGGCTAGCAGGGTGTACCGTAATATAAAACTAGTCAAACCTGATCCCTACCGCTTCCCTCAACTCCCAATTATTGATCATTCTCTCTGCTATAGTGACAGCAGCTACCGATCCCATTTCTCCTTTAAGAACTCCAACGAACATTATCGCACATTGGAGTCATCTTCTGCGAATGGCACTTATACTGCCTACAACACTTCATCAATTGTTGGTCTCACCAAATGGAAGCCCAATGTCACAGCAAGATTCTCAGTCGTATCCTTCTGAACTACATCACTCTCCTGATAATACCAATGGCTCTCCTATTAATGGTTCCTTCATAACTGATGATGTAAGTGATTTGAGGGATAAGCTGCGGGAGCTGGAAACTGTGATGTTGGGGCCTGATTCTGATGTTATTGACAGCACAACCTCACCAGAGATGGCTGGCTAGAGAATTGTAATGTATGCCATCTCCAGAGGGGACTTAAAACAGCTCCTTGTCTCCTGTGCAAAAGCGATGTCGGATAATGATTTCTTAATGTTGTAATGGCACAGTGGTTAATGGATGAACTACGTAGAATGGTGTCGGTTTCTGGTGAGCCGATCCAGAGGTTGGGAGCTTACATGTTGGAAGGATTTGTGGCACGTGTAGCCTCCTCAGGGAGCTCAATCTACAAGGCTTTGCAATGCAAAGAACCTGATAGTGCTGATCTACTATCTTACATGCACATTCTTTATGAGATTTGCTCCTACTTAAAGTTTGGCCACATGTCTGCAAATGGAGCCATTGCAGAGGCCATGAAAGATGAAGATAGAGTTCATATTATCGATTTCCAAATAGCTCAGGGAGTCAGTGGATCACTCTCATCCAAGCATTTGCAGCTAGGCCTGGTGGACCACCCCACATCTGCATAACTGGTATCGACGATTCCACATCTGCATATGCCCGCAGAGGAGGCCTAAATATTGTGGAAAAGAGGCTGTCAAAGCTTGCAGAGTACTTTAATGTGCCATTTGAATTCCATGCTGCTGCCATGTCTGGTTGTGAAGTAACACATTCAAGTTCAACCAGGAGAGGCTCTAGCCGTGAATTTTACTTTCATGCTTCACCACATGCCTGATGAGAGCTTGAGCACCGAGAATCACCGTGACAGACTCTTGAGGTTGGTTAAGAGCCTGTCTCCAAAGGTTGTAACCCTTGTTGAGCAGGAATCAAGCACAAATACTGCTCCTTTCTTCCCGAGGTTCCTGGAGACATTGAACTATTACACAGCCATGTTTGAATCCATTGACGTAACTCTCCCCCGAGAACACAAAGAGCGGATCAACATTGAGCAGCAATGCCTGGCAAGGGATGTTGTGAACATCATAGCTTGTGAGGGGGCCGAGAGAGTGGAACGGCATGAACTCTTGGGGAAGTGGAGGTCAAGGTTCAGAATGGCAGGGTTCACTCCTTACCCTTTAAGCTCATTGGTTAATGCCACCATAAAAACACTGCTTGAGAACTACAGTGATAGATATAGGCTTGAAGAGAGAGATGGGGCCCTGTACCTTGGTTGGATGAATAGGGAGTTGGTTGCTTCCTGTGCATGGAAGTGAATTGCATTTGTCTTTTTTACGCTAATATTGTCCTCTTCCACTTGAGAACAGGAGACTTGAACTGAAAACCCCTTAGTGACTGTTCCACGATTAATCAAGGCCTCTGGCATGCTCGGAAGTGGAAATTATGCTTCAATTAGTCTTAATTTTAGGAGCCTGGGAACACTGATACGAAGCCCTAGAGCTTATGAGTTGGGTTTCTTTTACCCTGTACTTCCGTATAAACTATAAGTTAGCCACCTTGGAAATCATCTCATTCCATTGTTTTCTTCGGTGTCCAAGCTAGAATGGAGAGCCTATGGACAATGGAAATAGAAGATTAGCAGCCATATAAAACCAAAATTTTTTTCATACCCAATAAGGAAAAGTGAAAAATAACTGCAAGGAGGCCCTCGAATCTTACTGTCAGATAAAGTTACTGCACTTTTGAACTCGCATTATTTTAACATGTTGGTAAATTTTACACATACGGTTTGCTAATATGGATACAAAAGTGCAGCGTCAACTTCAATACCCCAAATAGATCCATTTGAATACACTGCCACTTGCGACTGAGTATAGTGTACTATCTGCCTCATCTCAGCTCAGCTTTGAACAGGCGCAGTGCTTGGCACTCCTTGCTCATCGAAATTACATTCTGAATGTGGAGTGGTGTGGACCATCTTATCAATACAAACTGCATCATTTTCTGATTTCGTTTCTGATTTGCTACTTATTTGTTCATTTAATTTACTCTGAGAACTTGATGTACTGTGAACAACTGTACAACGGTCAACTACATCGTGTTCCTTGCTAGGATCCAACTTCCCACTCCGTTGCTCGTTTGACCCACTTTCAAGGCATAATATAGGTGTATCCATCATATCAACAGAAACAGAATAGCTTACTTCTGACTTGGTTCTTGGCTTGCCATTCCGTTGTTCACTTGAGTTATTCTCGACTTTACAATTAGGATGAACAATAATGTCAAGGCAGACGGTCCGACTTTCTTCTACCTTGGTGTCTGGTTTGCCATAATGAGCTTCTGAGTGAACATTTACTCCCTCATAAGTAGTTATACAGTCCTACTTGGTGGCAAATCATGGTCATGTCGTCCCTCATAAGTAGTTATAACCAATTTAGCATCATGAGAAGCTCTCTCAACATGTTTCTTGAAGGGGCATCCCGGATTTGAGCACCTAAAATAGCTCCTACATCACAAGTGAGAATAGCAAATCAAATTAATACCAAAAGCCTCATTATGGATATATACATAAAGAAAAGGAAACTTTCTAAGATCATACAAGTACAATGCATCGACTGCTATCTCAACATTAGAAATGAGAAGACAGACATCTACAGCTGGGATAGCAATGTGGTAATACCATAGCAAATGAGCAGAGATAAAATGTCAATTAGATAATTTTAGGTGCTTGAAATATGCATGGAAAAAAAATAACTTAACACATACCTTGGATTTGGATTGCCTTTAACTAGTTTTTGCCCATATTTGCGCACCGGTACCCATCATTCACAATATCAACCTCACTCAGAGTCTTAATAACTGTACGTGATTCACTGGCTGGCTTCTCTGCCGGAGATGGATGAGCTTTGCTACTCTCTTTCTTCCTATTTATATTTGATGAATGTTAAACAAAGGTTAAGAGAATATAGTCACACACACGAGAATTATCCTATTTAAATTTCCTACCTTCGTTTTGAGTTAAGATGATCATAATCACTATCAGCAACATTCTGTATCCTAATTGATTTTGAAGACGCACCCTTAACCTCTTCACTGCCAGCACTAGCTAAAGGTTGAGAACCACCCGTTGGCTCAATTTGCCGAGGCGTTTGTGCATCCAATGAATTATATTGTTGCTCTTCAACAACAGATGTACCAAAATCTACAGCTAAAGGATGGTTCAGTGGCTTTGGATGATCATGCTGACCAAAATAAACTATGTTGACCATTTTCCCATCTTGTGAATGCTCCAATTGCTTTTTCACTAGGCAGTTTGGATGTGTACATCTGTAATAACTTCGAATGAATTCATTACCTTTAACAAGTTTCTGCCCATATTTACGCCAATTATACCCATCCTCCGACGGTTTCTAACGTGCTACAGGACTACTCCCTTCCATACCAGGCAATGGAGAGGGAGACAGCGATGTCATCTTGGTTATCATAGAGGAAGCATTTCCTAATTTCTCCGGTTGAGAAAGCATGTCTTTCTCTGATTTAATCGAGGGGGCTTCTCCTCCTTGATCAGATCGCGATGAGAGAATGACTATACGGCTGAGTGTTATATTTTAGGGTTTTAGGCAAAAATATGATGTTTTAGGGTTTTATAGCCTAAAACCGTATAGTAGTATCGGTACTCCTCGAGGAGTATCAATACTTCAAGGTATAATTGAGTAGTATCGATACCATGGTATCGATACCCTATCAAGAAGTATCGGTACTGGATGAACAATATCAATACTAACTAAGAACAATATCAATACTAGGCGGGTAGTATCGATACCAAACAAGAGTGGTATCGATATGAGCATTGGGTGCGGGAGCCTCAGTCACCATCGGCAACCCCCGACGGGTGCCTCAGTAACCATCGACAACCCCAGTCCATTGGCGCGGGAATGCCGCACATAGCCGAGCATTAGGTGCGGGAGCCTCGATCCTTTTGATATACCACCGCTTGGCGGTAACATGTACTACCTAACTTTTATTGATGATTTTAGTAGAAAATGTTGGATTTACATCTTGAAAGAAAAATCGGAAGCGTTGAAAAAATTGAAAGAATTTAAAGCAATGACAGAAAAGCAAAGTGGTTAATATATGAAGATAATCAGATCAGATAGAGGAGGCGAATATACATCAAAGTTATTTGAAGAATTCTGCAAAGAGCATGGCATCATCCATCAGCTGACAGTTAGATACACGCCAGAACAAAATGGAATAGCAAAAAGAAAGAACCGTACAATTCTTGACATGGCAAGAAGCATGATAAAAGGTAAGCAACTATCGAGAAATTTTTGGGCAGAAGCAGTTCGATGTGCAGTTTACCTATCGAACATATGTCCAACAAAAAGTGTGAAGTATATGATGCCAAACGAAGCA